GTGCGATATACTACAACAGTGTTGCTTATCAGTGGTGCAGGGCTGCATGGGGCGGTACTCCTGGGTACTCCTGGGTTGGGTGTCTTGCAGTGTGTTTTTGAGAAAGCGTATGATGACCTCTGGAGAGCTAGGCGTCCGTGGTTGATAACCACATCACCTGAACACGTGTACCTGCTCACGCTTGCCGAGATAGGTTGGAGGCCGATCCCGTCCAGGAATATCCAACTGCGCGATGGTGATTTTAAACAGTTACTTGAGATGCCCCCCTTGATGAAGAGCCTGGCCGAGAGAGACGCAGGACACTGGGCTGACAAAAGGGCTCTCCAACTCAGGCCTAAGCAGAATTTGATGCGGTGCCGTCCTGTGTTCTGGGTGGATCAGGCGAGTGCGTTGCCGGGGAGGACGTCGGGAACCCGGGCGAAACACCGCCCAGCGTGTGTTCGGAATTCTTTTTGCGTTAGGTGCTTGGCCGCAGGTTCGACTCAAGGAACATAGTCCTGCCACAGAGGACTGCTGCCAACTGTGCCGAGAACAGCCAGGCACACTGCTCCACCGCACGTTCCACTGCGTCGCGTTCTGGGGGGACGGGAGGACCCACCTTTCCAAGGAAGGCACGAGGGCGGCGGTGATGATGGAGGAGATGAGGGAGGATCTGAAGAACTTTGCTGCAGGTGTATGTCCATACCTTATAGAACTGATTCCGCAGCTGCTAGAAGATGTAGAGTGTTCTGTTGTTTGGTTCAACAAGCCGCCATCGGGCAAATTCCAGGGGAATGTTTTCTGATGGTTCCGCTGTGAATCCAACCTGCGCTTTTATTAGGGGGGGGGCTCGTTGGGGCCTGGCCCAGGTCAACGATCGGGGGGGAGTCCCCCCGGCGGCTTTCGGATCTGCCCCGAGGAAGTTTGCGCCCCTTCAACAAGCTGGAGACGGTGAGGGCTACGCTTCTAGGGTGGCCAGCGAGCTTGTGGACCCCCCCCCCCCCGGATTTCGCGATTTGTATAGATTGTGCTGGGGCCTTGGGGCGCGCGCGGGACACGGCCAAGAACTGCTCGTCTCAAAACTCCAGGGCCCACGTTTGGACCAAAGTGTGGCACGTTTTCGAAGAAGGGCTCAGGGGCAGGAGAGTCAAAGGACACGCCAGAATAGCTGATGTTTTGAATGGGGAGCGCACTTCAGCCGGCAGCTTAGACAATCAGCATGCGGGCGGATATGCCAGGCAAGGGGCAAAAGCGCACCTTTTGCCGGTCAGCTACGCGGCCATTCTCGAACCCCCGCGGGCACTCCAGAGTGAGATTGTGCGATGGGGCGCCGCGCAGGATGTGATAATGGCGACCAGAGGCTGGGCTGGCGCCTCGGGGTTCCCTGCGCCCGTTGAGGCGTCTGAAGGCATGGCCCAGCCCAACCCCCAGCAACGTGTTAGATATATTCACACAGAAGAAAGGAAGGCTGAGGCTCGATGGATGCCCAAGCTGGACTCTCGTGTTCCGATCTGTCGCGACACAGTTCAGACCGCTGGAAGCGCAGCCCAGCTGTCGGAGTTGGAGCTCCTCGTCCGTCTGCGCGGCCACAGTTTATGCAAGGCAAAAGTCTCTGTTGATGATGGGTCTCGGGCGGCGGGAAGTGGGCGGGTGATTTCGCGCTCGAAATGTGGAGGGTGCGCCTGGTCTGGCGCGGCCCCGCCTGCTGCGCCGTGCCCTGGCCGCCCCCCCCATCGAAGGGCCCCCGCGAACAGAGATCGAGGTTCCCCTCGGGGTTGTCTCCCAGTTGGGCTCGGCAGCCCAAGCGCTGGACCCTGCTGGGTCATTGCTCGCCCACCCGCCGGATCTTGCCGAGCTGGCCAGATCAGCTCGGAAGGGGGTCCAGGCATTGATGGGGGAGGCGCCTGAGATTGAATTCGATGACAGTCTCTGGGAGGAGATGCGGGGCGACGCCCTGCCCCTGTCAAAAGTCGGGTTGCTGATGCAAGCTCGGGTCGTTCAGGGCAACGGTGCTTGAGTTGTTTTGTGATGGGGGCAAGTGGCATCGACGCTTGCTTCCACTGGGAACATAAGAGAACAGTCGGGGTCTGATGTCCTCCTTCCGGCTTCCTGAATGCATTTCAAGATCACATGCTTTATGTCTGTATATATAGATATGCATGGGCTAGTTTTTGGATCCGATTCTCTGGATGTGATCTTCTGGATAGGATGATATTGGTATGGCTCTCTTGCTGTGATTTGTTGGGTGTGATTGTGAGTCTGAGTCATGAGATCGCTGCCCGGATATAATTCTCGGGAATTGATCTAACACAATTTCGATAAATCATCTGATTCGGGATTATCTGAGGGTGTCTGGTTACACGCATTGTATATATCTGTATATATTCATATGATCAAACGTTTGTTTCGTGTACCTAAAGTAACCAACTGCTGATTGATCGTGAGATGGCCTATTATTTTCCTGAACTTATATAATGCGACCTGAATTTTCTTAGATTGACCCAAATTTCATTTCAGGTTGTGTAAAATGATCTAACACTGTCGAAGTTTCGCTTGCTAGCTGAATCGATCTAAATGTATATGAAATCTAGGATTTCATCCATATATATATAATATCGATCGTCATACATTCGGTGTCCAAATGGCCTGTCAATCTTTGAAACTGATTCGATTCGTTTAAATCTATCCAGAGCTATTGTAATGTAATTCGAAGTTGTTCAACTTTGCCTAAATACAGATGGTTTTAAACGTGCCTGTCATTTGACGTCACCGATTGTTCTTCATCGGAGCGTATCTAGATGTATCGGAATTCTTTTATTTGCATCGACATGTGCCTACATCGTTCTAAATGTATTTCGTTCGGTGATATATTTGGGTTTTTTTATATGCTCTCATTATATAAACGTGACTAAGTTCATTTCACTCTTATCTGGTCTTATCGAACGGTATTCAAGCGTTTCTCAATGTACCATGTTTTCTATAGGCGTACACAGGTTTGTCGGAATTGATTTGCGAGCATCCAATTATGTTTGCTTCGGTGCGGTTTCTCATTTTCCAGGTATGTTTAAAGCTCTTTAACCATGCATCTATATATATATGCACATTTATATATATACATATATATATATACGTATGAATACGAATACATAGAGATGCGGTTATTTGGATGTGGTCCTCTGGATCTGGTTCTCTGGGTCTGATCCTGCCCATCTGATTATTTTGGATCTGGTTCCGGATCCGAATCCTTATCTCAGTCGCTGGGTATGATACGCAGGATTTGATTTATTTTTCGTATTATTAGTCGTCTGGTTCTCATGAGCAACATTCATGGCCCAAATTCCCATCCCGATTCCGACTCGCATTCCTCATTCTTATATTTTATGTTTCATCGCATGCGTTTTGTTAATATTAGTATGCGTAATGGTATTGTTTGTACATTTGGTTTTTATTCGTGTTGTTTGTTCTTGTACATGATATCATGTTTATCGCAATTCGCATTATTAGTCATCATTGTATAAATAGTATCCTCGTTTTTTGTATTGCTCGTGTTTTCTTCGTTGTGTTATTCGTACTGGTTGTTTGTCATTGTCGTTGCCCCTCGTACTCAAATTTGTGTTCGGAAAAAAAGACGAGTGGCAATATTAGTTTCAGTCGTATTCATATTCACAGCTCGTTATTATTATACGTATTCCCATCATTATTCTCATTATTATTTCATTTTCGTTTTCATATGTTCACCATGCTCATGTTTCCATGTGTGTCGTTCCCTGTGTTCCATGTGTCTGTTAGTTTTGTTTGTTTATTTTCTCGTCCGCGTTCATATTCGCGTGGGTATTGTTAGTCGTGTTTTTGGTGGTACTATTATTATTCGCCTCATTTTTCGGATTTGCCATTGTCTGTATGAGAAGAGGAGGAGGAGGAGGAGGAGGAGGAGGAGGAGGAGGAGGAGGAGGAGGAGGAGGGAGGGGGAGGAGGAGGAGGAGGAGGAGGAGGAGGAGGAGGAGGAGGAGGAGGAGGAGGAGGAGGAGGAGGAGGAGGAGGAGGAAGGGGAGGAGGAGGGGAGGACGGGGAGGGGGAGGAGGAGGAGGAGTTTAAACCCGCGTGCTCCCGCCCGTGAGTGGGTGCCCCTGGTCTCGGCACCCCGCGCAGGCAGAACGGCCCGAGGCGGGGTGGGCCAGCGGCCTCATCTCACGTCGTCGTACTGCCGCCACTCAATGACTCATGGAGTCGCCCCGTGGGCGGCGGCAGTCTGAAGAAATGCTGCCGCCGCCCTCTCAGAGCTTGAGGAGCAGCCTGATGGACGGCCGCAGCCGCTCCTCCGCTCTGCGCTCTTCCAGGGACCGCCCAGGCCGCTGGTCCCTGGACTCTTGGGCCTTCACGGCCGCCTTGTCTGGCGCAGGGCTGTGGCCTAACCCCTCGCCACGCTGGGGTGCACTGCGGCCTAACCCCTCGCCGCGCAGGGGTCCTCTGCGGCCTAACCCCTCGCCGCGCTCGGGCCTGCTGCGGTCTAGCCCCATCACCGCGCTGGGGTGCTCCGTGGTGGCCTAACCCCTCGCCACGCAGGGGTCTGTTGCGGTCTAACCCCTCACCGCGCTGGGGTCCGTCGTGGCCTGACCCGTCGCCACACTGGGGGTCGGTGCGGTCTAACCCCTCACCGCGCTGGGGAAAAACGTGGCCTAACCCCTCGCCACGCTGGGGGCTGCTGCGGTCTAACCCCTCACCGCGCTGGGGTGCTCCGTGGCCTGACCCCTCGCCACGCAGGGGCCTTTTGCGGTCTAACCCCTCGCCGCGCTGGGGTCCCATGTGGCCTAACCCCTCGCCACGCAGGGGCCTGCTGCGGTCTAGCCCCTCACCGCGCTGGGGTGCTCCGTGGCCTAACCCCTCGCCACGCTGAGGATCGTTGCGGTCTAACCCCTCACCGCGCCGGGGTGTTCCGTGGCCTAACCCCTCGCCGCGCTGGGGCCTGCTGCGGTCTAGCCCCATCACCGCGCGGGGGATCGCCGCGTCTCGCACTGTCCCCATCCTCAGTGCTGCTGCCCGCTGGTTCGGGCAAGGTCCCCCGACTATGCCACTCGCTGTGTTCGCGGTTCACGTGGTATCCGCGGGCTGAGCCCTCCCCCTCGCGTTCAGTCTGTCGGTTTCCCAGGGTGTGGGTCCGTTCTGTTAGTTGCGAGGTCCTGTCTACCACACTGTTGGTCAAAGGGTCCGCGTCATGCTCACTGGGCTCGTCAGGGACCTCCACCTCGAGCTTTTGCTGGCCTTCGGCATTGCGGTCTACCCCCTCACCGCGCAGGGGATTGCCATGGCCTAAACCCTCGCCGCGCAGGGGTTCCATGCGGTCTAGCCCCTCACCGCGCTGGGGATAGTCGCCGAAGGCCTTGTCCTGGTCCCGCTGCAGGTCTGTGTCGTCGTGGTCTGCCGTCGTCTCGGGCTGCGTAGTTTTGCGGCCTAACCCCTCGCCACACAGGGGGACATCGGGTCTCGCACCGTCACCGTCCTCGGTGCTACTGCCCACTGGCTCAGGCGAGGTCCCCCGACTATGCCACTCGCTGTGTTCGCGGTTCACGTGGTATCCGCGGGCTGAGCCCTCCCCCTCGCGTTCAGTCTGTCGGTTTCCCAGGGTATGGGTCCGTTCTGTTAGTTGCGAGGTCCTGTCTACCACACTGTTGGTCAAACGGTCCGCGTCATGCTCACTGGGCTCGTCAGGGACCTCCGCCTCGAGCCTCTGCTCGCCTTTGGCATTGCGGTCTAACCCCTCACCGCGCTGGGAACCTCTGTGGCCTAACCCCTCGCCACGCTGGGGTCCTCCGCGGTCTGCCAGGTGGTACCCTATGCTGTGCTGTGCATCTGGGTTCTGCTGGAAGTTGTCATCGCTGTCCTGCTTGTCTACGGGCTGATGGAGCCAATCCTCGCTGCTCTCCTCTTCAAGGAAGTGGTCGAGGTCTGCCCTGTCCATGGTGCTCTGTCCTGCTGGTGGGGGACGGGCGCCCCTCTACATCCCGTCTGGCGCAGGGCTGTGGCCTAACCCCTCGCCACGCTGGGGTCCTCTGCGGCCCACCCCCTCGCCGCGCAGGGGTCCGTGGTGGCCTGCCCCTTCTCCGCACTGGGGCCTGCTGAAGGGTTTCTGCTGCTCCTCCGCCCTTCCCGCCTCCAGGGACCGCTCTGGCTGCGGTGCCCTAGGTCCCTTGGGCATCTCGTGCTCGGGCGTTGGCGCTGCCGTGCGCAGCTCGGCGGGGCTGCTGGTAGCCCTGGCCTCTGGGTACCTCCTCGGCTGTCTGGCTGGAGCCCTGCTTGGCTCTCGCGCTGCTGCTTGCGGTCGCGGGCTGCGCCTCCTCACCACTGGCTCATTCCCGCCCAGGACCCGCTCGGCAGTTGCTCTGCGCCGCTCTGCCTCCTTCGGGTCCTGCTGCTGGCTCTGCCTGCGCGCCTCTCCGCTGTTGAGCCATGCCTTACGGCAGATCTCCTCCGCCGCTAGGCGCTGGCTGCGCTGGCGGCTCAGCCCTGACACGTTGCTGAACAGCCTCTGGTAGACGCCATTCTGCAGCGCCCTCAGCACATGGGGCACGCACGCGGCCTGCCACGATGGCCAACCCTGTTCGCCCTCTCTCTGGATCCAGCAGCCTGCCAGCGACTGCATGTGCTGCTCGATCCTGTTCCTCTCGAGCCACGCCACCTCCTGCTCGGGGTCCTGATCAGCTTCTCTTTTGTGTCGAAGCCTTGGGTGGAGCAGGCCAGCTTCTTCCGCTTCGCTCACGAACTTCAACAGGTCGGGCCCAGCTGGCTTGGTCAGCTTTATTGCCACCTGTACGACCGTCTGCATCAGGCTTTTGGCGGCGCTCTTCTGATCAGGTCCTGCCATGGTCTCCATCTCCTGGTCGCTCGGCTCACCCTCCTGCTCTGGGGCTTCACTGTCTGGGGTGGAGTCATCATCGTCCAGGTTTTCTGGTGACCACTCTCTGCTGGCCTCCGCTGTACTCGGCAGCGGCCTGCGCTCGCTGCTGGGAATGCTGTGCGCTATGATTTTGTTCCTTCTGTTCTGAAACGCGTCCATGTGCACTCTTGCTACCTGCTGCCTTGTACCGTACGGGAGGGTAAGCATTCTGGTCATGAGCCTCCGTCGCTTGCGGTGCGTGTTGCGCCAGATCTCTTCGCAGAAGTCCTTGATCTGCTGAAGCTCCTGCACGGTGACGGCCCTGGTCTGCTCTTGCGTGTCCATTCTGCCACCCACGTTGGTGATGGCCAGGAGGTACGGTACGCAGCTCTCCATCCAGTCGTCCATATCGTCCCAGACCTCCTGGTCGACAAAGGTTCATCCACTGCTCCGCGTAGCCCTCCATGTGGTCCACGAGCCTCCAGCTGGCTTGGACGACCGGGCGCGGATGGCTGGGTGGCTGCTGAGGAGTTGGCTGCGAGCCCCCTGCCTCTGAGCTGCCCCCGTCCAGGTCGATCGCCTCGTGGTTACTCAGGCCGAACTTGAAATCTCCAGGCATGGTGATCTCGTTGAGACCCTCCTCAGCTGGGTCTGCTGCTGGCTTAGCTCCTCTTGGCAGCTTGCCCCTCTGCGTGTCCGCCAGGACCCGCCTCCCTGCTGCTGTTGGGGGCTGTCATGGCCTGGCCAGCTTCCTTGCCACTCCTGCCACTATCCTGTTCTTGTGGTCCCCAAGGTAGCTGGTGCCGCCACATTTCTCGCACCAGAGCCAGCCATGGGTGTACTGCGTCTTGTGGGAGACGTGCACAACCTGCGTGCCGATCTGCACCGCCTGGAAGTCGAGCCCGACGTTGCCGTGCTGGTCCTGGTGGCCGCCGTACTTCCCGAGGCATTATCCCGTCTCTGCCAGCCAGTCTTTGATGCTTTGTCCTTTGGCTGGGCCACTGCGACACGTAGCGCACCACCATCGCGGATGTAGCTTGCGCAAGTCGTGTCCCAGTTGGGCTGCCCTGCCCCTTGCCGCCTGCGGCTTTCGGCGCTTGGCCTTGGGACGCTGAGGGGCCTTGTTGGGGTCCTCCACCGCCACCGCCATGTTGATGGCCAGCAGCCGATTTTGCACCGCCATGGTGATCTCTGCACGATGATGGCTGGATCCAGTGCTCCATGCTCCGCTCCCCAGCCTGCGTACTTGTCTGCCATCTCATTTCCAATGACCCACCAGGTGGGGCCATTCCACCTCTCCAGCTCGGCTGGGTGCTCAATCAGGTGGCTTGGGATATGGTGGCCCATGATGGTGTCCGTGCTGTTCTGCAGCTGCTGCTTCGTCTGGAGCCAGAGGTCGTAATTCGTGCTCCTGTAGTCCAGGTCCTCAGGGTCCTGGATCTGCCTGAGTGCGTCCAGGGCGTACTTGCACTCGCTGACTATGTTGAGCCCCATGGCCGTCGCCGCCGTGGTGTATCCGATGGCTTTGCTCATGGCGGTGAGCTCTGCCCGTGGCACCGCGTGTGGTGCCCTGATCGCGCCGTGCCCGGCTGCCACTTCCTGCGGACGTCCTTGCTCGTCGAACCTGAAGGCCACCACTGCCCAGCCGCCGCGTCTGAGGCGGGGGTCCTTGGCCGTTTCCCCTGCACCACCTGAGCCGTCCGTGAAGACGTAGTCTGCTCGAACCTTGTACCCTGCCTGGGCTGCCGCTTGAGCCTCTTCGCTGGTGCAGAAGATCTGCGCCGCCTTCGCCGCGCCCTCGTCTGGGTGGACCTTGGCTGCCCAGGCCGCTGGCGGGATGCCGCGGAGCCAGAAGTGCAGGTCCTGCCGCTGGTCCAGCGCGTCTTTCGCCTTCTTCGCCAGGTCGGTGCCATTGCTGTGCGTTGTCTCTGCGTTGGCAGGGCATGCGTAGTAGCGGTGTTCCTCTGTATCTATCGCCTCGCCGCATCTCGCGCAGGTGTCGTCGCCGTCTTTGTTGGGGTTGGCCGCCCTGCGCCGCTCCCTGGCCCAGATGCCCGCCACCGCTATAATCTCCAGCATGGCTGCTTCTGCATGCTGTCCTTTGCGCCTCCTCCTCATCAGGTGGCGCTGCATCTGAAAGAGGTCGCCTCCAGCCTGAAGTCCTTCTCCACTGCGATGGCGTGCTGCCTGCTGCCAGAGCTGCTACTGCGCGCTCTGCTGGACCTCATGCAGGAGCGCGCCGAAGTGCGGACTGTCATCTGGCTTGTAGGCCCACTCGTCACCTGCTGGGCTGATCCAGCTGTCCAGGCGTCGCGGTATCCAGCCTAACCCAAGCAGCTGCGCGATGACCCCTGCCATGGGCCCCTTGACCTGCTGCCACCTGCGGTTGGGTTCCAGGGCGTCCAGCTTGGCGTAGAGCAGGAGCCAGCCTCCCTGGTACCTCTTGAGCTCCGTCGGGTGGCCGACTATGGTGAGCCAGAACTGCTTGATCTGGTCGCCGATGGCTCGGGTTACTGCCTCTTGCATTCCCCTCTGGATCAGGGGGATGGTGGACGTGCAGCGCCCAGCCTTGTGTCCGCCTGTGAGGAGCGCTGCCTCCGTGGCCCTGACAGCCTTCGTCTCCGTGGGCGTGATGCCGTGCGCTGGCAAATCCCAGGCCTGCTGGCAGTAGGCCCCTGCTGAGTAGACCTTTGCCGCACCTCTGGCGTCCGTCTTCGCTAGGTCCTTAAGCTTGGCCACCCTCTGCTTGGCCTTGGCCTGGCGCGCTGCATTGGGGGTGCCCAGGCTGTCCAGGATGCTGGCGACTTCTGTCTGGAGGTCCTTGTCCGAGGCCACCGCTGCCGTCTTGACGGGGATGGGTATCGAGAGCCGCTTGAATCCATCGTGCACCAGCGCTGCCACGTACTTGATCTGGTCAACGACCTGCCGCCGCGCACTTTCTACCTGCAGGGCCAAGTCGTCCAGGTACTGTTGCATGACGACGAAGATGTGGTGCCTGTGCGCTGCATCCAGGATGCCATACAAGAGCGGTCTGGTGAGGTCGACCGCTTGGCCACAGCCAGCGACCATGCTGTTGGCAGGCTCGAAGATTTCCGAGAAAAGGCTGTGGGCCATGATGGCCCTGGGCGCAAGGTACATCTGCACGGCCATTGCCAGCGGCAGCAGCGGGTGCTGGAGGTCGCTGGCTTTCTCGATCAGCTGGTCGAGGCGGCCTATGGTGTCGTAGAATTTTGCCGCGTCATAGAATACTCCTGCTGCATGAAAGCCCTCATCAGTCTGTGCATTGCCACTCGTGGCGCTGAGGAGCCTGCTACTGCCGTATCCCAGACGCCCGCCGCCGCCTTGCTCCAGGTGGCTATTGTATAGTCTGTTATGTTGGTAGACTGCAGGTTCAGCGTAGGGAAGTGGGGGCTTTGCCTTAGCCATTTGGGGTCCGTAGTCGTGGGCTCGAGTTCGAGCCAGGACTCGGGGGTCCCGGGGGGCCGCGGGGCGGCCAAAACCGCAGCGTCCTGCACCGCCAGCTCTGGGGAGCGGGTGTGCGGACGTGGCCGGCGCTACCAGCCTCGTGGCGGGTGCGCGGGCCAGCGGTGCCATGGCCGTGGGCTTCCTCGGGGCGCATGCCGTGATCTTGGCGGTTGGTGGGGCGTTCTCGGCCCAAGGGGCGATGGGTTGGTGGCTACTTGGCCGCGCGGGGGGCGCAATGTCCCCAGCGCCGGCGCCGCCATCTCAGCCCGGGCCGAAACTCCGGCCCGCGGGCGGCGGGGGGCATGGCAAGGGGCGAGCTCCGCCCGCCAAGCCTGCGCCTGCGGGAAGGAAGGGGCGAGGGCCGCCGGCCAAACCTCCGGGGGTCACCATTACCACAACCACGACGACGACTACGACGTCGACGACTACGACGACATCTTCGCAGCCTGGCCCGAGCCGCGAGCGCGGGGGCGAACCCGCAGTTAGCCCAGCCGCGGCCTGGCCCGCAGGCCCCATTTCCACTACGACTGGCGTCGGCCGCGCGCGCGGGAGCGGACCTTCGGGTAGCCCAGCCGCGGCCGAGCCAGCGGGCGGGTCGGGTGCCCAGGGCGGTCCCAGCAGGGAAGAGCCACGCGCCCCGCCCACGCATCCTGGGAGACCCGGCGAGGCATCAGGCCAGCCGACGGGGTCCCTGGGCACCTACGGGCCCGGCGAGGCCGCGCTGAGTTTCGACCCGCTGCGCTTCAGCTGGCTGGTTGCTGGCTGGTTGGCCTGCTGCGCGTTGGGCGCAGAGTTCCGACATCGCCGCATGGAGGCTGAGCTGGCCGAGAAAGGCACCAACCTGCAGCTTTGGGCGACCGAGGCGCTCGACGCCGGGGAGAAGCTGGCCGAGGCCCGGTCGCGGTGCACTGCTCTGGAGGCCGAGCGGTCTCGTGCCGCCGAGGGAGCCGAAGCGTGGCGCCAGGCTTACGAAGAGGAGGCGACTCGCCGGCAGGAGACGGCACGGCGACAGAGGATGGCCGAGAGGCTCGCCCAAGGGAAGAGCCAGGCGTGCGAGTGCGAGCGGGCGCGCAGATTCCGTGCCGAGGAGGCCTTGGCGGGGAGCCGCGCGGACGTCGACGTCGACAACTTGCGGGCGTGGATCGACGGCCTGTTGGCATGGATCGACCGCCTGACGACGAACCTCGAGCTGGGGGCCACGATCGCCAAGAACCTGCGGGCCCGCGTCGACGAGCTCGAGGCTGCCGCACCCAGAGGTCCCAAGTTTCTGAAAATTTGAATCTTTTCTGTGTCACTTTTTTTTCCGAAACCAAAAAAAAGCCGGAAAACATTTCTGAATCCATGCCTGTGTCTAAAAAAACAGCGTTTGTAGCATATGTGTATGCACATGTATATGGACATCCCACACGAAGTATAGCGGACCTTGTTCATTCCCACCCGCCCAACCATAATGTTGGAACCAGCGTTTCTTTGACTCGCGCTTCGCCTAAAAATTTCTCCTCGTCCTCATCCTCCTCATCCCCCTCCTCGACCTCCTCACTCGCTTACTGCCGCGACGTCCTCGTCTCCACGATATCGCTGTTCGCATTTGGATTCGCGTCGAAATATTGGCCAGACCGCGCCGCAGCAGAGGTCAGGGGAGCAACGGTATCGGTATTTTGCCTCAATATCAATCGCCCCCCATCCCTCCGCGTCGCAACCACTCTTGATCGAGCGTGTTTTAGGGTCCCGACAGCCAACCTTATAGAGCTGGGGGAGCGCCTGATGGCGCTCAGGAAGGCCGACGCGAAGCCGCTTGCGCGCACGCCCGACGGGCGCGTGGACCGCAGGGGCTGGGGTTACTCCTACCGCCTCCTCTTCCTGCTCATCGTCCTCCTCATGCTCCTCATCGCCTCTGCTCCTCGCCCCCGTGGCCCCGAGGACATGGAAGCTGGGCGGCTCGCGGCGCTCGCGATGAAGAACCACGCCTTGCCCCTGCGCATGACGCTGGTTCGCGATCGTCAGGCTCAGGCGGGCGTCATCGTCGTCGTCGTCGTCGTCGTCGTCGTCGTCGTCGTCGTCGTCGTCGTCGATCGTCGTTCGTCGTTCGTCGTTCGTCGTTCGTCGTTCGTCGTTCGTCGTTCGTCGTTCGTCGTTCGTCGTTCGTCGTTCGTCGTTCGTCGTTCGTCGATCGTCGATCGTCGTTCGTCGTTCGTCGATCGTCGTTCGTCGATCGTCGTTCGTCGTTCGTCATTCGTCACTCGTCGTTCGTCGTTCGTCGACCGTCGTTCGTCGTTCGTCGCCGTCGTCGTCGTCGTCGTCGTCGTCGTCGTCGTCGTCGTCGTCGTCGTCGTCGTTCGTCGTTCGTCGTTCGTCGTTCGTCGTTCGTCGTTCGTCGATCGTCGATCGTCGTTCGTCGTTCGTCGTTCGTCGTTCGTCGTTCGTCGTTCGTCGTTCGTCGTTCGTCGTTCGTCGTTCGGCGTTCGGCGTTCGTCGTTCGTAGTTCGTCGTTCGTCGTTCGTCGTTCGTCGTTCGTCGTTCGTCGTTCGTCGTTCGTCGTTCGTCGTTCGTCGTCGTCGTCGTCGTCGTCAGTAGGTCTCCTACCGACTCACCTCATCTTCGTCCACCCCTTCATCCTCACCCTCATCCTTCTCCTCATGTTTGCATACAGCTCCTCAAAAATTCCCCCACCTTATACTGGCTGTCCTCATCTCAATATATTCGTTGTCATCCTCACATCTCCTCTTCGCGCTCAGCCTCCTCCAGGCGGGCGCGACCGAGCAGAATGCGCAGCCCGACTCTGAGATGCCGCTTGCGGCGACCCGGCCCGAGCAGAATGCGAGCAGAAGGGCGGAGGCCCCCACGCTCGCCGACTCCGAGATGCCGCTTGCGGCGACCCTGCCCGACCGCGAGGAGCCGCCGCCGCCCGAGGAGCAGCAGCCGCCGATCCTCGTGCAGGACTCCGTGGAGTCTGCAGGCAGCGGGCTCAAGCGCGATGCTGACGGGGCTGTTGACGAGGACGAGGCCGACGGCAAGAAGCGCAAGATCGACTTGGACGATGTGGAGCTGGCCGAAGCCATGGAGTTCAAGCGAGCCACCGAGGAGCTCGCCGAGCAGCAGCGCATGGAGAAGCAGAAGATGGAGATGATGTTTCGGGAGCTGGAAGAGAAGCAGCGCATGGAGAAAGAGCAGGCGCAGAAGAAGGTTGACGACATTCGTGCAAAGTGGAAGGCGCGGCGCGAGGCTGGAGATGAGCCGGCTTCAAGTGGTCAGCGTGCACAGGTGGCGACAGAGGCAGAGGTGATCGCGGCCGAGCAGAAGTTCGAGGACGCGCTGCGCGAGGCCCAGCAGGAGCAGCACATTCGGGAGATCGAGGAAGAGCAGCGCCGTCAGGAGATCGAGCTGAAGAAGCACGAGGACGCCGCCGACAGGGAGGAGCGCAACAAGATCATCATGGCGGAGATCGAGGCTGAGCAGCGCAGGGCGATGAAGGCCGCCACGGATGGCACGCCCACGGCGAAGATGACCGAGGGCCAGCGCGCCGCGTGTGTCTCGCACGTGGATCGCGACGAGGCTCGGGGCCATCGCAAGAGGGGATGAGGACGATGAGAACGACGATGACGAGGATGAGGACGGCGACGACGATGACGACGACGACGACGACGACGACGACGACGACGACGACGACGACGACGACGGCGGCGGCGGCGGCGGCGGCGGCGGCGGCGACGACGGGGAGAGAGAGGAGGAGGAGGAGGAGGAGGAGGAGGAGGAGGAGGAGGAGGAGGAGGAGGAGGAGGAGGATGAGGAGGAGGAAGAGGAGGAGGAGGAGGAGGAGGAAGATCAGGATGAGGAGGGGGAAAGTCTGGGGAGGAGCTGACGTGAGGTGAGGCAAGGCGGAGGATGAGGATGAGGATGAGGAGGAGGAGAAGGATGAGGAGGAGGAGGAGGAGGAGGAGGAGGAGGATGTATCATTAGCCCCAAACAAGAGCGAATGCCCCAGCAACCCAAGTCGAGTTTACGTGGCGAACGCCGCGCTCGAATACACCTGGCCACACTCAACGTATACCTTGCCGTTGCCATCGTACTCCCAGTCCGATGGCAACGGCAAGGTATACGTTGAACATTGGGAATGATCGTGCTCGTTATCGTCGTTGGAACAATCGTCCTCGAAGGTCTGCCCCCTTGCTCCTCCTACGCATACCTCACCCCCCTCCGCGTCGTCATCCTCCCTCATCCGTCCTCCTCATCCTCGTCACCACTCTCACATCCTATCAGCGCTGTGATCGGCATCCCATTCCTCCCACTCCTCCTCCTCCTTCTCCCCCTCCTCATCCTGCTCCTCCTCCTCCTCCTCCGCCTCCTCCTCTCTCTCCTCCTCTTCCTCATCCTCATCCTCCTCTTTCTCCTCCTCCTCCTCCTCCTCCTCCTCCTCCTCATCCTCATCTACCGTCCGTCGCTCCCGCAGGCCAAGGCTGCTGGTGCGTCCCCGACGGCTGCGGCATCTACAGTGCCTGCTGGCCCGTCGGTGGCGCAGGCTGCGCGCATGGGGAGGGTGGACGGATGACGGGTAAGTTTCGGGTAAGTTTCGGGTAAGTTTCGGGTAAGTTTCGGGTAAGTTTCGGGTAAGTTTCTTACTTCTATCCGTATCACTCATTCCCGCTCCATCCTTCCCGACCCGCGGCCCCCCCCATTTACCTTTCCTC